AGTTACTGGGCTCATGGTCAGTAATAAGACTATCCAGTCTTTGTTTCCTTGGCTTTCTCCACAGTGACGAAATTAAAGAAGATTTTGGTAGCCGTTTTTTTTTTTTCTTTTTTTTTCTTCATATTATTATTATTAGCTTTATTAAAAGTTTGTCTCACTTCAAAACACATCAACGTTGGAAAACACGTATATAGAAACCTGTGCATGTGCAATAAATGTCCACGCAGTGAATTTTTGGCTTGGATTTTTTTATTAGAAACGTAGATACCCAAAACGGGTTACAGCTTGTTATTTTTTAATGACTTTTATGGACGTAGGGCCTACAGGTCTACTGTGCGCTGGTATTTATTTATTTATTTATTTATTTATTTATTTATTTATTTATTATTTTTTAATGTCCAATGGATATTCTGTGATATAGCCCTACGCGCAAATTCTGAGTCTAGACATCTACATCGACTGGCTTCATATACATGTATACCTTAATACATGTACATGTACCACGGCTATAAAATATATAATATAAAATTCAAATGGGATAATACGGAAAGGAACCAATTTATTATTTGATATGCCATCAACAAGTATGGGTTCCTCCCATCACGCTTGCTTGTAGGCCTATGTGTTAAATACATGTAGGCCTATGCGTCGCCTTTCTATTGTACATGAACCTGCCATTCAAAGAATGAATGACACAAAAAAAATCGGGGCTGTAGCGATAGTCCGAAGGTTCAATAGTCCGAAGGTTCATTGGTCCGAATGTTCACTATAGAACCTTCGGACCAATGAACCCTTGATTAAAAAGTCGATGAAAACGTTACCACTTTTCGGACCAATGAACCTTCGGACCAATGAACCTTCGGACTATCGTGACGCCCCCAAAAAATCCCCTGTATCCGCCATCTTAGATAGCCTCCATGTAAGTCTATTTGCTGAGTCAGCGTACATTTTGTAGAACGGTGATCGCTGAAAGTGTTTTATCTGTTTGATCAGCGGTTATGCTTACTTACGGCTGTTCATGAGATATAGAAAAAGTAAGTACAAGTAATCCGAAACATGTACGAAACACCTCGACGCGCATTTGATCAATGTCATGTGTGTCATTTCATTTCCTTGTTGGTGATAAAGTTAAATAAGTCCAAATGGTCAAATCTTAGTACTGTGTGTTTGTCTGTGTTTATCAGATATAATTTATTTATTTACTTTCATTAATTTATCTATTTTGAGCGAAGTCAAGGTGGGGGGGGGGGGGGGGGGGGGGGGGGGGGGGTTTTCAAAGGGGGGGGTC